TTTATTATGGAAAAGGGGCTTATAGCTCAGTGGCAGAGCATCTGCTTTGCCTGCAGAAGGTCCCACCTCATTCTCTGTCAGGTAGGGCTGGGAACATCTGAAACCCTGAAACCCTGTCAGTATAGACAATACAGTGGTACCTCGTTATTCAAACGTCTCGGAAGTTGAACGTTTTGGTTTTCGAACGCCAAAAACCCAGATGTAACTGCTTCGGTTTTCGAACACTTTTCGGAAGTCGAACATTCCACGCGGCTTCCGTATTGAGTTTTCTGTAAGTAAATGCTTCTGGAAGTAAATGCTTCAGTTTTTGAACGTTTTGGAAGTTAAACGGTCTTCCGGAATGGATTACGTTGGAAAACCGAGGTACCACTGTACTGTGTTAGATGGATCAATGATCTAACTCAATATACATTCCAACTATGCTTTGTAGTTTTGTTTTATGGTGGATTTTATCTTATGCATTTCTATGCACTCTTGTTCACCACTTAGAGGTTTTATCCTTAAAATAAACAAGAGTTAAGTGTATGCAGGAATCTTATGAAGGGATAGATTATTGCCGAGCACTGTCAGTTAAAGCCTCTGGAAATCTGGAAACCTGGGGATATACACTGCAATAGCCCCCATATTTTATCAGTCTACAACTCCCATCAGCTTTAGCCTGCGCAAGAGATTATGGAAATTGGGAGTCCAACATCCGTAATATGTTGACTACTCCTGCTTTAAACAAAAGGGGACTCTATGTCACTGGGATCCCATTTATACTGGACTTTGCATATGGAGGAAGAGATGACATCTTCTTTCAGAACATACAGTCAATAATGGCTTAGACTCATTAGAGCAGAGTTACCTGAACTGGGGTCTCCAGTTGTTTTTGGACTACAACTCCCATCATTCCTAGATAGCAGGGTGAGGGATGACGGGAATTGTAGTTCAAAAACAGCTGGAGACCCAAGTTTGGGAAACCCTTCCTTAAAGTCTTCCTCTCACATGTTTCTTCATGATTTCTAAGATCAGCTAGGAGTGCCCTCTTCAGGATCACACTCCTGGGTTGTTCTGGTGACAATGGCACACAGAAAAGCACTATCAGCAGCTGTCCAAACATAGAATCCACAAGCCTGCCCCAAATTTTCCAAAGTTTAAACATTGTTGGAAGCAAGAAAACATTTCTGTTTACGTTGGCATTTGGTAGCAGAGTTAAAAGCAGGCAAAAAGTTATTTTATGTTCTCATCCATTTGAAAACATGCGACACCTGCTGAGCCCTTTCTATCAGATTACTTTCTACTATATATTTATTACAGTCAGTATGGTGTTGTCTATAGGAAGGTACCAGCAGACTTTAATCTCAAAATTCTCCCAGCCTCATGTATTCTGGGCTTCTTACAGACTTATTACCTCTTGAGCCCCTACTGTTGCATCCTAATGCCTAACTTCTGGCTTCTTCAATAGTAGTAGGAGTAATTATTCTCAACGCATTTATATTCTGCCTTCCTGCCTTAATATGAAGCACTCAGTGTAACTCACAGCATGGTAAATACACACATACACCACAAATCACTATTTAAAAACTCACCTAAAAAGGGGGGATAGCAGAAAATACAAAACAAATACATGCAAAAGAGAAGGCCAAAAAAGGAGAAACAAACTGAATGCTGGCCTGCTGGAACAAAATAATAATTAAATCTGCCAGGCAGAGTAATCCAAAGCCTAGACACAATAGGGGAGAAGGCTGTATTGAACATTCCCACCAGCCCACTCTCAGATATAGTGGGATACACAAACAGGCTTCTCCAAATGACCTCGCAGAACAGGCAGGCTCATAAGGTAGGAGACGCCAATGCATTTGATGTACTGATCCTAAGGTGTTTAGGAATTTAAAGGCAATGGCCAGTACTCGAGTCCCAAACAAACCGGAATGAATATTGTAAATAGAGTGAGGGAGAGATTTGACAAAATCTAAGAGGAGGAGGTGGGAGGTTTGGCTACTCAAGGTTTTCAAATGCCTCCACCCCACGTTTCTCATTCAAACCTCCACAGGGGGGTTACACTGGAAGGCATGCACCCACCTGCCCATCAGCTTCTCCAGCACCCACCCCCCATAAACTTCCCCCTTCAAACCTCAGTTCAAAAAAATCACTTTGGCCCACTAGGGGTAGGGGAGATAAAGACTGAGCCTGATCTAATGGGGAGGAGTTTGGCAAGCTGTAAGGGGGGAGGTGGCTTTGGCAAGGAAGGGGAGAGGCTGGTTTTGGCAGGGTGGGGGTGGAAGCCCCTAGTACAGGGTTTCCCAAACTTGAGTCTCCAGCTGTTGTTGGACTACAACTCACATCATTCTTAGCTAGCAGGACCAATGGTCAGGGATGATAGGAACTGTAGTCCAAAAACAGTTTGAGAAACCCTGCCCTAGTATCTTGACAAGAGGAAAATGACTGATCAAAGTGTGGCATACTTGGCATAACACACTTAAAGCTGCAATCCAACTCCCAATCTGTCACAGCATCTCCTCAGAGCTCTGCTAGCATCACTCCTCCAGCCTGGAGCTCCTTGTTCTGCCCACTGAAAGTGTAGGTTGGGGTGGAAGTATCGCCAGCAGGAACTCGCAGAAAGCCCCTAAATGGGGTATGTTGGGGGGTGGGTTTGCACTGGCCCTAGATTCGCTGAATCCCAAACTAACCCCACTGCAGTCACTTGATGGTATCAGGCCTGATCCAGGAACAGTCACCACATCAGTTCCACATCAGCATGGAACAGGGTTTTATCTGCCCCAGGCAATGTTGAGTAGCAAGGCTCTGGATGCAGCAGTGGCCACCCCATTCATTCATGCCCCTCTGCTGCCCAGCCAATGTCATGATTGCTCTGTGATTCAGTGGGTTTAATTCTGAGTAAATATGCACAGGATTGTGCTGTAACGGATCTTCTGTTTGTCTAACAGGGCTGTTGCTGGAAAACGTCTGGATGCACAGAAGCCTAAGGTTTGTTTTTAATATGCATATGGCTTATTGTGAAGCATTAAATAATTGTTGGAAGACACTGGCAGATGTGCTGATGTGGATGAAATTAATTCAAGGTGAGTTAATAGATCTCAAAGATCTACACTGGTATGTAATGACTGCAAAATTTTAAAAAATTCTACATTTATAACAGAAAAGGTTATTGGAAAGGCTATCTGCAGTGGCATATTATGGAAGAAAATGCCACTGGAGGTGTACTGATTCTCCATATTATCATCGGTGGCTGATACAGTGCCAGTCCAGTATCATAGCAGAACAAAAATGAATAAGTGTTTTAAAACAGGCCTGTGTCTAACTTGCTGCAGGAAGTTCATCAGCTTGTGCCTGAGCTGTGCACTTTTTTTTGGCTGTTCCCACTTGGAGTTTGCAAATATACTTTAATTACTACTTCCAAATGAGATTTCTTTATACAACTGCTTGACGTCTTTTGGTTATGCTCTATAAAAAGGGGCTTGCTCTTACCTGGCATGCTCTCATTTTCAGTTATCAAACCAATCTGAAAGTTATCTGACTGGGAGAATTAACCCCAATCACTGAGCTGGTTGCATAAGCATCCACAAAGCAAATAACAAGTCAACAATACATAATCTGGACTGGAAGTAAAATAAATGAAAGACTACAATTTAAGGAGTAAGGGAGAATGGGCGAGTTTGTATAGCACATTGCATTTGGATGGCAGGATGCAGCTGGTATGCTGTGACAGTCGCTGCAGCTGCATTCGTAACCAATCTGACATTTGGGTTTCTGTCTCTAAACCTAAGGAAACTACTTTGCAAAGAGAAATAGGAGAAGAATGTAACTAATATAAAATGGCAGGGGCAAGAGTGCCTATCAGAGCAAAATTCAAAAGAATGCATCACTGATCAATGGTCGGGCTGTCAGGGCTCTACTGCCAGTTATGAGTCATACTTAATTAGTGCCAGTGGGTGTTCCTCTGGGCAGTTGGCAACGAGGAGGGAAATGCCAAATGAGTGGCAAAAGAATGTGGGGGTGCTGGAGAAAGATGGTGTTTCTTAAAAGAAGGCGTGCTTGGGGGAAATTAGCAGCATTTTCTCATGCATCAAACAGCCAATGGTTCTATTGGCTGGAACAGTAAAAAAAAAAAAGAATTAACCCCACAATTAATGCTTCTAAAAAACAACTGGTCTGTCTCACATTTCACAGAGCTGTGGTATGAATAATAGACATGGGTGATCAAATTTAATGTATTTTTCCACTTAGAAACTCCATACATCAGCATGCCAAGTCAAGACACAGAGGTGCAAATGACACAATCTTTAACTTGTTGCCAAGCAGGAAGATGGGACAGGTGGGAGATGAATAAACTACTTGAATGTATGCTTCTTTTAAAAATCTAAGTATTTGGGAAATGTTCAAGGAATGAAGGACTCAAAAGTAGCTTAAGGTAGACCTAATGACAGCTTATATTCTTTTCTGCTGTGTTGCAATTAAGTATTTATTATTGTATGTCTTTGTCTGTCTTTCACACACACACACACACACACACACACACACACACACACATGCTTGAATGAAATGCAGGCATTTCTAATTAAACAGAGTTTCCCATTTTGTTCCCACTGGTAAACTATGGCTACCTGCTTTGGACTACAGTTTCAATATCTGTATACGTGTGCCCCACCCCACTCCAACTTCTTCTGGGTCCAAAAGGACCCATGCATCAGCAATCACATGTCTAATAGCTATATTAGGATCTCACTTAGTCCAGTCAATGTGCCTCCATATGTCAGTGTCATTTATACATTTTGCACATGTTAGACATGCCAACAGCATTTCAGATTGAATTCCTTTCTTTTTAGTACATACGTTCTTTTTAAGTACATACATACATAGTACATACAATAGTCCATCCTCTCTCCCGCCAATTAGGAAATCATAGATACAATATACAGGCGCAAGTTTGAAATTTATTTTTAATTTCACCTGGAATGTCATTTAACATAAGCTAAACAAGCCTACTTCACACTGACCTTCAATATATTTCGTCCATCAAATGACTCCCTTTCCTTGAAAAATTTGCCTGCAGATCTATTACTTTGCTCTTCAGCTGCAAAATAAATATATCAAATTACAGCTCATCCTTAAAAGGGTTTTTCCCACACATGGAATACAACTCTGCACTCACCTTTTATACAAGAAAGAAAACCTGCAAATTATTTCCCAAAGTATCATGTCAAAATTCCTACAGTCATCAATATTGTTGCAAGGATTGTGCTGGGCTGACAGCTCAGTGTAAGAGAATCATCCAAGGGGAAACTAGAGTGTAATACTCAGTGCTCTGTCAAAGCACATTTCAGCAATAAAGCATTCTCTCATCTCTTGAATTACCAAGTCCAGCATCAAATATCTGATCACTCTGCATAGTATATATTTTAAACCAATGAGGAAAAGTAAGCACTTGGGCAATGCATCCTTGTTCACAAGGTGTCTCTAATCTCTCAATGCCAGTATCTGAGAACAAACTCAAGAAGATGAATTACCCCTTAGCTAGGGTTCTGTTACTCTGCAATCTACATATTCTCCTCACAAGCATATAACCACCAATATGATTTCTGAGATGTTCATGTTTCATTAAAAAACCCTCAAAATTCTAGCCCTTATGATAGCATGGAACAAACTGTTGCATTGCACTGAGCTAAGCCAAGGTTTAGCTTAAAGGTAAAGGTACCCCTGCCCGTACGGGCCAGTCTTGACAGATTCTAGGGTTGCGCGCTCATCTCGCTCTAGAGGCCAGGAGCCAGCGCTGTCCGCAGACACTTCCAGGTCACGTGGCCAGTGTGACGAAGCTGCTCCGGCAAACCGGCACCAGAGCAGCACACGGAAACGCCGTTTACCTTCCCGCTATACAGCGGTACCTAAGAACCAGAAACAGTGGTTCTCTCCTCACTAATCACAAGCTACAATCAAGAAAAAACTTCAGTGCTATCTCACTAAGCCATAGTTTGGCTTACTATGTTGTGCAAACCAGCTATCTGAAAATACGACTTTTGGAAGTCGTCTATTTGTTAAAAATAAACATGAGCAGTAGTTCGTAATTCAGGCTTGTAAGCAGCAAGCTACCTGTTCACTTGTGAGAACTGCTTCCAGGAAGGATAGTAAAAACCTTGGTGGACTAAGAATTTTTATATTTTTAAATTTGCAGTCCAGGCACAGGATTTGAGATTGTGTGGACTCTGATAGAAAGTCTGAATTTTCAGATGCAGACATCACACAAACACATCTATTAAGTGTCCTATTTGTTCCATCAGCTAAAATCAAAGACAAAATCTTGATATACAGTTAGTTGGATGAACTTAGCATGGTAGTTCTTATGGCCTTAAAATATGCAATGCACAGAGTGACTTAAGGAAATGTCCTTGTCATAGTTTGCTGTAAGCAGTATGTTAGAATTAGTGCAAGGCATGTTCAGGGTTCAGTTCAATTACTCATTTACTATTCTATTTACTGATATAGTCATTCTCACTAAAACAAAACAAAACAATACAGGAGCCTGGAAGTACATAGCATTAACCAAATCCATTTTTTAGATACAGGAAATACGAATGAAGACAGTAACAGTCTTGTCTAAAAAAGCAATACAATACCCTAACTTTCATCAGACATAAGGGGAAGAAAGAGCCAATTTCTGCCAGATATAAACAGTATGTTTAATGTTTTAACAAAAGATTTCTTCTCTGCTCTGTACTGTGTAACCTTAATGAAGGAACCCAACTCCTTTTGAGGGTCATGAACAAATTATCTTCTGCCTAAAGGTCACAAAACAATAACAAATGAGCAACACCAAACACAGGAACCATATAACAATTTCAGAGATCAAAGTCGTAGCTATATTTCCTCAAGGAGACCTTAACAAATGCTTACCACTAGGATCTTTCCGGAAGATTGTGTTCATGACTGTGGCATGGAGTTTCACCCGATCCCACTCTTTCATCATTAGTCCAGAGGTCACAAACCGATCTGTCAGTCTATCTGCTATGTGCTGGAGCCTATGGGAAAGGAAAGGAAGTAAGGAAAGCCACAATTTTTTCATTACTGTAATGGGATACATAATTGTATGTTCATAACCCTGCAAGGAAAAATACATAAAATTGTTGTTACTAAAACAACAGATGTTGCATTTGCAGCCTGCCATTTCTTCAAGGTAGGGAGATATCAGTGGTGAAAGTTGGAATTGGCGGGTCTGGAGTACAGAACAAAATGTTTCAGTCACATTTGTCACTGGGCTTAGAATACAAGGCAAGCCTAGATAAGGGATCAATCATTGGATGAAATGACAAAACTATGTTCTTAAGACCAAAAATATACTGACCCCACCTGAAGATGGCTTGATATCATGCTAAAAAACAATTTATCTTGTTCCATGTCCAACTTTGTAGTGTGGAAATCAGAAACTTGGCCAAGGATGCTTGTCTGAGATAAAGAAATCACCTCTGAATCACAAGCACTTCTTCAAGTCATGCTGGTACCTGTCACTAATTGTCTCTAGTGACAGAGGTGATAAAACAATGTAGCTGGGAACTGACGATACCTTGCTTAACCCTAGCAAAACAACACCTTCCCCTACCCTACAATGCAGACATTTCTAGGACAATGTAGTGCACAGGCAGGTCATCATACAGGATCGTTTTATTTGGGTGTGCACATCACATTCATTTTGGAATTAACCTGCAGCACACAGCCACAGGATGGAGCTTTATTTGGACATGTTTGTTTTCTGAACATTGCCAGAATAACCCGAAACATTTACAGTCAAGTGTTAAGATGTATTTAGAGACAAGTCAGATGCATCGTTTTTTGTTTATTCACTGCCAAGCATAATTGAACCCATTTGGTTAAATCTGCTGCAGTACAGCTCAGCTGCATGGTTTATCTGGGGATGCTTTCCAAGGCTGGTGCTTATGAATGAATTATTCTGCCTTACGCCATTTAAAGCACAGAGTGATGGAATTCAGACAGAAGGAAAACATGAGGTCACCATATACAGCAGCTCTCCTCACCATTTCAGCTCCGGCTTGAGATAATGGTTCTCCACAGGAAAAGTGGAAGGACAGAAAGTGATAGAAAAGAGGCAAAGCAATGCTCCCAGCTGAGAGCGCCTTCCCAAAAATGAGCAGTTGACCAAAGCAGCTAGAACTGTATAGAGTTGCTGTGAGATTTTAGCTGTCTTTGATGACATCAATCATAATGAACTATGTTGCTTCTATAAGTGGAAATATATATATATATATATGCATATATATGGCAGGGGGACTGGAACAGATATATACCCAATGCCTGAGCCAAAAATCCACCTATATCTGTACGCAATAAAGTTGTGGCCATTTCTAATCCAGATCATTGTCTGCTTGAGTTTATTAATTACATCTTACATTTAGCCACTGCCCGTGGGGGCGGTGGCACTATGACTGGGCCTGCAACAAACAAACAAACTTCGTGGCAAGTTCCCCCACTTTCCCCCAAAAAAGAAAAGCACTGGTTCTACATCATCTTAAAGGCATCAGTTTAATTCCAGTTCTGATTAGAACTGAACGTTTCTGAAAGGTCAAATACGGGAATCAGGAAGTTCGATAAGTGTACAGGAACTTGTCCCTGCTAGAACATACAAGTAATTTCCCCACACAAAAGTGTGATGATTCATATTTGTGCTAACTGCAAGCTAAATGTGTGCACTAGGGGATGAACACATTTCTAAAGCTCTTCAGTGTGTTTTCTTCCTTGAAAGGACTGAGCAAGATTCATAGCACCATGGACAGAGAACATTCATTAAAACCAAACATTCCTGCTCATTAAAATGGGAGATCATCACACAAATGGGAAGTCTTATACAATCTTGTCACTAAGTCCATTAGCAACATAATTTGCCAGATAGCTCATCCCTTTCCAGCTATAAGTTGCCACCTTGGCCCTTTAGGTCTTACTCAGAGATGGAACAGTAATAAGGTTATTCCCTCTCCCTCTCTGGTCACCATTTGCTCGACAATCCTTGATGAGCTAACGCTACAGCCTGCTAGCTTTGAGCTGTCCCTTTGAAGCAGTTACTGGCCAATTTCTAGTCTTACTGATTGAATCTTATGTTTTGCCCCGCATCATTTTATTTCTGGTGATACATCAGTGACTTTTAAAATTAGCGATGACAAATGAAAGAAGTATCATCACAAATGATACTAAAACAAATTAACAAAATAGCTCAAGTGAAAATGGTGCTTTATTATGTTATAAAATTAATCAAAGAAATGAGACAAATTAAAATGAATTACAAAGTCTTTGCTACATGGGAACCATCAGAGCATAACCTTATTTCACTGCCCCCCCCCCCAAGTCTAAACACAGTCTGCAGCATCACCAAGGCAAAGGAGGGAAATGGAAACTCTTATGCTTTGGAAAATCAACTACTCAGAAGCAAACAAAAATCACAAAGTATATTTGCTTCTCACATTGCCATATAAAGGATGGATCAAGAACTTATTTTATAATCCTAGGTGTTGAAAGAGTTGGTTACTTTTCTTAAGGTATCATAGTAACTAATATGTTACTATTAGTTACTAAACTCATGGAATCTACTGAGTGTATCTATTAAATCCAAGCGCCTTAGCTTTCATATCATCCCAAGTATGTATGTCCTGGTAGCACAGAATCCAGTTAATGGGTAGTGAGAGCTATGAAGCAATGGACACTTGGTCTTTGAAACTGTAAAATCCCAAAGTAATTAGGATCTGTCTCTACCACTGATCCTACTGATCAGATTCATTGTAAGGCAGAAAGCTAAAGCAAATAAAAACATGGTAGTCCTTATTTTAACAAAAGCTGAAGATTAATTTGAAATGATACATTAAAATCTTGTTTATTTAATTTTGCTGCAACTATTTACTCTGATGCTTCTTTTCAGGAAACCACAGATACATTTCAAAGGGAAGGAAGAAAGAAATTGAAACATTCAATATACATTTGAAAAGAAAACAAAAGGAATGGCCTGGTCTATATTTAAACTTTGGTTTCTTAGGGAAGGTAGTGACAACACTGAATACAAAAATAAATGAACATTCATACTTTGCAAGTAGACAAAGTAAAGAGCATTACAAAACTGTGATAACAATGTGACTTAGCAGTCAGTAGCAAAGACAGGGGCCACATTCTCGCACTTTAGCCATCTAGACAAGTCTGAACGGGTTCAAGCAAAGTTTTTAGCTTGCATGCTCCCCCTTCCCCTCTCTGGCTTCCATGGGGCCAGGACTTCAGCAGCATTTAGTTTCATTTTTAAAGAATTCTGGCTCAGCACCAGCATGTGCATCAGAGATCCTGGTTTTAAAAAGCCTATGGCTAGCCACATAGCAAACAAACTCCATACCATGGGTTATGAAAGTGGGTTTTAAAATGAACCAAGGTTTGTTTTAAATCAGAATCTGTGGTTCAAACCTAACGCTTTAAAAGTGAAATAAAACTCTGCTGAAGTCGTCTTGCTCCTGACTACATGGAAAGAGAAGATGGGAGGGGGGAGTGCACAAGCCTGATGCTGTGTTTGGACACTTTCAGGGTCACCAACATACGTGTGAACGCAGCCACCAGCTAGCAGTGGTAAGAATTTCAACCACATATTTAAATTAGAACTAACGAGAGTGGAAACAGTTTCTAGTTTTCAGAAGTATCGACATTAAGCAGAAACTGCACAGGTGGATACTCCATAATTATCTCTCAGTAATACTACTTGTTATCAGCCCAAGGGCAAACTCATTACAGACCCTTCTTTACCTACAAAGAGGTTGCAATAACCTTATCTCCTGGATATCTTGCGGTATATTTTCTGGCAGAAACAATCAAACTCAGAGGTTGAGAGCCTTCTCAAGAGTCATTATATTACTTTTGCAAATTCATATACAATCACTTTGTGGAATGAAAATGATTTTTTTAAATTAAAAAAGCAGGGGAAACTTACTTGTTAGAGCCATCCTTCAGATGAACTTTTGCATAGAGAACATCCATCATGGCTGGATCATCATTCATGTACTCTACACCTGCTACTTCTACAGTTAGTGGTTTGCCTCCAGCAATTGAGCTGTTTGAAAGAGGGGGGAAACACCAAACACAGTTCATATTTAAGATTTGGCAACTGCACAATTCACTTGGTCAGCTGCACTAGGCTACACCAATTCACCAACACAGTTTCTTCCCCACTTTTTAATGGAGGTTTATGGATTACTTCAATTACATTTATATATTTTAGTGCGACTGTTATTTCAATAGTTTGATGCATATTTAATTTTCATTATTTTGTTTTAAGCCTTTGTATGCTGCTTGAGAATACTTTTTTGAACAGAAAACCATACAAAATAAAATGATCATCGGCAGAATTCACAACTATATCCTGTCCCCAGCAAATTCCCCAGAATACCTACCCTTTCTTCCCTAGAAGACAGAATGGATTGTTCATCACTATTGACTTTTGCCCTTGTTTCTGCTGTTTCTAGAATCAGAATTTCTAACTTAGTTCAATTAATTTCAATGCATCTGCTCTGAGCACTTTAGCCGACTACAACCCAATGGATTCAACTCACAACAATCTTACACTATAGAACATTGAATCATACAGAGCAATGCCTCCAGGCCTCCTAAGCCCCAACAGATTTTTGTCTCACTGTGAAACTTATAATGAAGACATTCATATTATTTTGCCACATAGAGTGTCACAGGCTGTATTAATGGTCCCATCAAATGGAATGTTGTAAGATCATATGAGGGTCAGTTCATATGAGGTCATCACAGGGATTCACTGAGATAGAGGAAAATTAAATCCTGTCATTATTAATGTAGATTGCAAGCTTTACATGCAGCAACTTCTAGATACTGTACAGCACAGTGCTAGTAATATTTAACTGTTAAAGAGTACAAACAACTGTAGAATCTTTTCCATACATAATAAACTGCCAAATACTGTCAAATATTAAAGCAAAGGATGAGAATTTTATCTATTTCTGTGGAAAGTATCAGAATCCATGCAGCTAGCTGCTCCCTGAATAACGCAGACAAAGGCCGTTTCTCTGACAATTTAAACAAACAATCTAGAAAAGCACGTTGCTCATTGTGCTGCCAAGTCCTCATCACACACTAATGTCAACTGGGTGCCACACACACAAGCGTCCTGTGATGCAAAACTGGGTCCAGAAGTCCTCAATTTTTAGTGGCCTCAATAAGCCAGTTCAGTTTTGTGACTGCCACCAATCCTCCTGCTATGGATAAAATCTATGCCATTGCACTTTGGAGGCACTGAGCAGTGAGAAATTTGGCTGCATTAGAGTGACTCCGAAGCTCAGCAAAGCAGGGCCAAGCCCTCTCCATCCACCCCCTTTTCCTTAGGAGAGAGTGGTGGGAGGCTCAAGCCTGCAGTCACAAAAGGAATGTAAAGTAAGAGGTGGGCAGGGGCTCATCTCTAACCTTGCTTTGGGCTTCAGGGGCACAGTAAGGCTTCTTGTCACTTCTGAGCACCTCGCTGATTTCAAGTGCCTCTGAAGCCCAAAGCAAGGTCAGAGACAAGCCCCTGGCCATAACTCACTTTGCATTTGCCACCAATGTGCTTACTTGCTAAAAATATATGCTCATCATTTGCAAGCTCATCTGTGGGTCTCACCCTGCAAGCTAGGAATCATTTTGCTAAAAAGTCCTTGCAAAAAGATTGGAAGTGAAAAAAATATCGGGGGGCGGGGCGGATTCATAGTTTCATAGCTTGCTAATTCTAAAGCTCAAAGAGTATGGTTTTGTGTAGTAGATTATGACAACTCCTGCACTGTAGAATCACTGATCTACTGTATTAGAGCTTATTTTTTCAATACAGTTCAATACTCTCTACCTTCGACTTGTTTCGGAAATTAATCTCAGGGATATACGACCATTGGGCGGGGGGAGCTATTTGCCAAAGGCTCCGCTAGTGAAAAAGTGCCAAGGCAATCACATTTTTCATGCACTTCCAGGAGGGGAGAATCAATCTTTGTTCATGTACAAATAAAACCAGCTACTGTAAGAGAGAGAAAAATGCTAGGTTATAATAAGACTGCAAGCAAAGAGATGCTCCTAAATGGTTTATATCAAGAACAAAGTGCAATTAGGTCCTTGTATTGTTTTGTGTAGGCTTTTCATTTACTCCTAATAATGGTTTGCTGGATTGCTGCAAGCTGGGACACCCCACACCCCTCTAAGTTACCCTGGCCCTAGAACCAGTACTTCTTTTTGAGTGCTGCAGCTGGATTATGGCATCCCAAGTGCTTTCAATTTACTCACTCAATGAAGTCTTCTTTACACCTCTGTAGAAGTTCTTGGGCCTTCTGGATTTCCTGTTCATTCAGGAGTACCAGCGTCCCAATAGTCAGATGGAGCTTGGCAGGGTTCTGGAACAGGCTACTACTGACACCATAGTCCTGTAGAAACATTGAGAAATTCATTGAATGACATCAGAAATTCATGTTTCTCCTTACTTTTGCATATCTAGGAATCTGTGTCGCTTTTAAGGTATAGAGCAGATCTCTATTACAAGCGAGGCTTTATGTTCTAAAAAATGTGGAGCAGCCATTGGTTCTTTATTCCAATCTCACAGATTTGTAACCAGCTACCTGTAGCATCTTAGGGAGACTTGTTCAACTGCTATCTCCATCTTGTAACTGAGTCTTTAAGGTAACCTCATAGCTAAACATCCAGCCCAATTTTACTTTATTTCTTTTTCCTTCTCTCCCAATCCCCTATTTTGTGTAACATTTTGCCTAATTGAAGAATTCTCGAGAACTCAATAACTTTTTGTGATGTTTTGCTTGCTTCTGAGAAAGGTATTAACCAGCTCCGGATTTTTGAAGTCTGCTGATCAGAATTCAAAATGGGTGACATGCAAAATTAAAGTCATATAATAACATGGCAATAGCAACAAATAGGAATCATTTTAAAAAAAAGCAAACTAAAAAATGCCCAGATAAACGTATTCAAATTACGTAACATCATTTCCTACATTTTGCTGGCTGCTGCATTTTAAAATCAGCTAGCTCTTATCTTCATAGCTGCTTTAGAAAAGGTAATTTCCCTACAGGTAATTGTCTTGTCTCCATTCAACCACATTGTTAATTTTTACATTTCAGAAACCCAAGTGATGCTGCACAGCAGGGGGCCAGCTAATGACTCCCTTTCTTATGCAAGTCTTATTTGAAGGAGCAAAGTGGCAAATCATTTGCTACTCCCCGGCCACATATACAGTGATGCAGGCTGTAGAATCAACACACCTTAGGGGTTGCCACAGAGAGAATGCCCTTTCCCTGGGCCTCTGCCCCCTGAATTTCTGAGGGTGGCAGAACTACCAGCCCCCCCCCAATTTTAACACCTGAGAGGGTCTGTAGAGAAGCAGGCAGTCTTTCAGCTATTTGGGGCCTAAGTCGTTTAGGGCTTTAAACACTATCTACACAGGGAAATGAATTTTCAACAGTGAATGAACTGTGCCATGAATAAAAAATATACCAACTGGAAGAAAGACCAAGAACATTGATTTAGGACCCTGCACCCTCCAAGAGTCAGGAATCACTATAGCATATCTATTCAGTGTAAAAATAGATCCAAGTATGAGGAACGCAGAGGTCTTGATCCCTGAATAGTAGAAGTTTGACAATGGCTTTTTCTTGTTTCTAAGCTTTTAGAAAGACTGCTCCAATTTTAGATTTTGTCAGCCACCTTTATACACAGAAACTTTTAAATCATTCGCTGAAATCTTCCAGAAACAGAAAGTTCCACAGCAGTCTATGCCAACCTGGTGTCCCCAAGATGTTTTGGACTATAATTCCCATCAACCTCAGACAGCAAGGCGATGATGGACAGGCCTGATGGGAGTTACAGTCCAAAACATCTGAACAGAACCAGGTTGGCAAAGACTGCTTTAAACAAGCCATTGTATTGTTCCATATCTTATAACTCCAGTTATGATCCTGCAGACTCCAAGACTCACTGAACATGGGCAATAATCTGCAGACAGAGCTAGGAATCCGTTATCAATGCTGCCCATGTTATTGGGAAAGCGTTACTACCGTCACTGCTACCTTCCAGGCCCTCACAGACAAAGGAGGCCAAATTGATAATATTCAATTCAATTCAGTTAATGTCAATTCCACCTTTCAACGGGAATGCTCAAAGTGGCTGAGAACAAAAGCTCTCTCTCTCCCATTCTTTCCATTCTGCCAACTGGTACAAAAACAAAGCTGAAAAAGGTCCTCATTCTCTTCTGCATGAAAGCTTATTTAGGATATACTGCAAAGACAAAGTGGTTGTACTTATGAGCTTTCTCTTCAAATATGGGACAAGCCCCAGAAGCCATTTAGTCCATAATGAACACAGGGAGCCTCAGAAGCTGGGGAGGCAGCAGGGGGCAGGTTTGTTATGTTCCAACTGTTGACAGCAGTTCATTTTAATTTCTGTAATGCTCACAGATATGATGTGCACAAAATATATTAACACAATAAATAAGCAGCTTTTAGGAAAAGAGGCATATTCAATCTAATCCCCTGGGGGAAGGGAAAGGAGATTTCATGTTATAATTACCAGCAACCTAATCAGCTGAATTTCCTCTCTACAACTTTCCAGGAATCAGTGGTATCTTACATGCTCTGACAGCTTCCTATTCTGATGCTGCACATCACTAGGAAACACCTGAACTAGCTTCGCAGGAGGAAGCCCCATTAATAGCAGAGAAGATCCATAACTCCTTCCTATAAATTATCTGCAAATATCAAACCAACTGCTTCTCATCTTTTACTACATTTTCAGAGCTCTAGTGATTGTGGTCTAAATTGGGCATAGGCAAACTCGGCCCTCCAGATGTTTTGGGACTACAACTCCCATCATCCCTGACCACTGATCCTGTTAGCTAGGGATGATGGGAGTTGTAGTCACAAAACATCTAGAGGGCCAAGTTTGGGGATGCCTGGTCTAAACAGAACAATCCTAAGTAGGTTTACCCAGAAGTAAGACCTACTGAGTTCAATGGATCTTACTCCTTACCTGAAGGCACAATCTTAATTCCTGGCAAGGGAACAGCAGGCTGAACAGAGGAGGAGAGCTGCCACCACATCTGAAGTTCTGCTGCTCACACTGGCCATGGAGGAAAGGGAAGGAGTATTTCACCTAATTTATGCTGTGCCAGCTTCATGTGACAACAGCAGAGAGACCTGGATCAAGTCCCTCCCTAGCTGCTGGACCAATTCAGGGTCCAGCAAATTCATAGCTTGTCCAACTTCACTCCACTGCCATTCCACCCCATATTGAGCCCTTAAACTGACTACCACCAACGGGAACACCACTAGCCATAGCATGTCAACAACTCACATTGTTGATGGTCAGAGACAGACAGAAGGAAAATCCTCCCCATACCCTAAATGCATCCCAGCAGTGGAGGTTGGGGATTAGGATTGTTCTGCAAATGTGTTTTAATATTAACAATTTAACCCCATGACGCTTCTGAGTGGACTTTTCCCAAGAAAAGCCTGCAGCAAAGTTGCAACAGGCTGCTCTAGCTTGCTGAGCCCTTGCCGTTTTGCTTAGATGCTTGCCTGCTTTAAGACAAAGAGCCTTTAAATTACTTGTTCAAACTCCCAGTTCATAATTTACTATTTAGTAATCAATGCAGTGCCACTGAATTGCATTGATTTTTCCTTTACATCTGCACCCAGCAATATCTTCAAACAACCCCTGTTGTACTTGAGCATCCTAACAGCAGCAGAAACAACAACAATAATAAAAAAAGCGAGTCAGAAGCATATCTAGAACTGTTAAGTTGTGGGTAGACATAGCAGACGACACAGCGATTTCTCCAAAGCAGCTCTTTATTTGTAAGCTGGAACAGAACTGAACTGAAGGGCTCAGTCAGCCTGCTTATATAGAGCTCCAGTACCTTGTTACTGTAACAACTTTCTAAAACTATCCAATCACTGAACGTCACTTTCGATCCTTCATTTGCATAACTATCTACAGTATCCCAGGGTGGCCCAGGGTAAGAACTTCAGTACATAATAATAATAATAATAATAAATTTTATTTATATCCCGCCCTCCCCAGCCGAGCCGGGCTCAGGGCGGCTAACAACAGTCAAATAACAATCAAATAATAGCACATTCTAAAAATATTTCGTTATAAAAATTAGTTAAAATCAAATTAATGGCAACCGATTAAACAAAATTCTGTGCAGGTTGCCGGAGGAGGGAGTCAGGCTGCGCCCTGACCAAAAGCTTGGCGGAACAACTCTGTCTTGCAGGCCCTGCGGAAAGATGTCAGATCCCGCAGGGCCCTAGTCTCTTGTGACAGAGCATTCCACCAGGTTGGAGCTGCAGCCGAGAAGGCCCTGGCTCTAGTTGAGGCCAGCCTAACCTCTCTGAGGCCTGGGATCTTGAGGGTGTTATTATTTGTAGACCGTAGGTTTCTCTGTGGGGCATACCAGGAGAGGCGGTCCCGTAGGTACGAGGGTCCTAGGCCGTATAGGGCTTTAAAGGTTAAAACCAGCACCTTAAACCTGATCCTGTACTCCACCGGGAGCCAGTGCAGCTGGTATAGCACCGGATGAATGTGATCCCGCAGCGAAGACCCCGTAAGGAGTCTCGCTGCGGCATTCTGCACCCGCTGGAGTTTCTGGGTCAGTAACAAGAACAACTCTTAAGTAAAGCAAAGTTAGGGAAGAAAGTTCACTCACAAAAATCTGGATTAAACCAGATTTACAAGCTGTATACAGTGGTACCTCGGGTTAAGTGCTTACGGTAATTCATTCCGGAGATCCGTTCTTAACCTGAAACTGTTCTTAACCTGAATCACCACTTTAGCTAATGGGGCTTCCCGCTGCCACCGTGCCGCCAGAGCCCGATTTCTGTTCTTATCCTGAAGCAAAGTTCTTAACCTGAAGCACTATTTCTGGGTTAGTGGAGTGTGTAACCTGAAGCGTATGTAACCCGAGGTACCACTGTATCTAAATTCTATTTTCTTTCAGCATTTAACTTGACACAAACTAATTTGGAGCCTCCACATTATAATAATGGAAAGCTACCATTAACACTAGATTACTTCTCAGATACTTGTCACAATTTTTTTCTAAGCTTTCTTAGATATAAGTTTCTAGCAGTAAATGCATCAGTTATATTGTGATAAAGCAACAAAGGGATATAAAGTGATTGGAATGGTTCGGAGCCACATGTGTACAATGAATTTCTATTACTATCTATGGGATTGTGCCTTGTGTGTGCATAAACCCAATGAAATCTTTGATGGCCACCAAACAGTTAAAGCAGTCCTCTTGTATACCATAAAATGCAATGTATAATGTTGGTACCATACTATCACTGTTATTATTAATGCCTCAGAGAAGACGAACATTCAATTCAGCTGGACACATTGGTGCAAACTCAGCTTG